CACTATGGGTCTGTTCACTTAGTTCCCTTAGTTCATGTAGGATTTCTCAAGTATCCAATGATGTTGTAGCCTTCATGTGAGTTTAGTTTCTCCCGAGGAGGAATGTAAACCGATCACAGTTGTTGAGCCGCATGGGATATGAGTCCTAAGTATAAGCCTCCTAGTACTTTCCTGAGGAGAGCACTATGAGTCTGCCTACTTAGCTCACTTTCTTTGTTAAGATTGTTTTGAAGCTTGAAGACTGGTTTGATTTCTCTTGTGTAGGGTTTTGCTTAGGGTTTTTGCTTAGAGATTTGATTAGGTTTTTGCATAGGGCTTTGCTCAGGGGTTTGATTAGGGTTTTGTTTAGGGGTCCTGCTCAGGATTTTGGTTTAAGTTTTGGATAGGAGCTTGTCAGGCTGGTTCGCCTTCTCTTTGTGTTGTTTGACTTGTGTGGTGTTGTGCTGCATTAGACTTAGGGGTTCATCTAGATATTTCTGAGGTAGGTGCATCTTAGAAGTAGGCTTTGTGTGCATGAGAAGTTGAGGTGGGCCTCCTTCTGCTTGTTTGTTATTGAGTGGCTTTGCTTGCTGGTATTTGGTAGAGCTGAGCTCCCCTTACCTCTGTGGTTTGCGGCCTTTGTGCCTTGATTGTTTGGTTGTTGCATTCATGCATATTTTCAGTATTTCTTTACTTTGCAGTTGATTCCTGTTTAGTCTTGTTGCCATGATCCCTTAGGAGCTCTAACTTCTCCGCTGCGGAGGAGTTATGATAGACATTAGGTGGGTCAACCAGGCATGATAACATTAGGTAGATTCCCCTTTTCAACCATAGTTTTAGGGTGTCTTTTCCCTTTCTCAAAACAACAGAAAAACACTTGAACAGCTTGTGTCGTAGTTAGCCGAACTACAGTTGCTCTGATTTCTCGTACCGGACGAGAATATGTAGGCATAGGATGCGATATCCTAGCGAGCACACTAACAATTAACTCTTTTGTTCTCTCGCTGCTGTGCGATCGAGACTTTCCCACTAACGACTGATTGTTATCCCTTTTCTCTTGCCCGAGTGCATTTGAGACCAGACCGTAGTTGTAGGTTCCCGAACCTTTAAAACCAGTTTGATTTCTCACTGCTGTGTGAGAACACCCAGTTTAGCCGTAGTTAGTCGAACTACGTTTGCTCTGATCTTCCATGCCGTGTGGAAGTACGTAGGCACAGGATGCGATGTCCTGGCGAGCAACCTCCCCCCGTCTAGACGTAGGTAGTCGAACTACGTTGACTCTGACTTTCCCATTGCACGAGGGAGTACGTAGGCCCAGAACAGCGTATTTTCTGTCGAGTCCTATCCTTTTTCCTTTCTTTTCAGACCGACCATTAGCGTAGATAGATAAACACACCCTTTTCCTTATAAACACTAAGCGTGGATCCCGTCGAGTACGACGGACGTGAGGGGTGCTAATACCTTCCCCTTGCGTAACCGACTCCCGAACCCAGGTTTTGGTTGCGATGACCATACCTTTCCCGTTTTTTGCGAGGTTTACTTCGAGCGTTTCCTTTCCCTCCGTTGGGATAAATAACGCACGGTGGCGACTCTTCTGTCAGCCGGCGCCGATTTTCGCAGTAGCGACACCTGTGTAGAGCAAAACGTAACATCTTATGCCAACTCTTATAAGTCTTCACCATCTTCTGGATGATCTTCTTGATGTTTATGTTAGTTGCTTCTACGATGTCGTTTATCTTTGGCCTATAAGGTGATGAGTTATGATGTTCAATCTTAAAGCTCTCGCATAACTCCTTCATCATCTTACTATTCAAATTCAACCCATTATCAGTGATAATCTAGTTGGGAGTCCTGTAGCAAAAAATTATCTCTTTCTTGATAATTGGGTGACTACTTGCTTCATTACTTTTGAATAAGAAATAATTTCTACCCACTTGGTGAAGTAGTCGATGGTAAATAGAATGAAACTATGTCCGTTTACCGCTTTTGGCTCAATCATACCAATCATGTATATACCCCACATAGAGAAAGGTCATGGTGCAGTCAAGATATTCAAAGGAGTATGTGGCATATGCACCTTATCAACATAAATCTGATATTTGTGGCACATCCTAGCATAGTGTAACAGTCAGTTTCCATTGTCAACCAATAGTAACCGGCTCTGAACAAATTGGATGATAACTTTATCAAATTCTTCTTGTCTATGATTGGGGCATTCTCTGGATACTCTTGCTTCTCGATATATCGCTTGATGTCATAAAACCATGGTTTATCATCAGTTTCTACTTTAATTTCTAAGCAATATGCGGGTTTATCTAGATGTTGAATTATCATAGCAGGTGCTTCATTAACCCACTTGACTTTGAACATAGACGACAAAGTAGCCAAGGCATCAGCTAGCTCGTTCTCTTCCGTAGGAATATGATGGAAAGTAATTTCATAAAAGGAGGGGATCAACTTTAAGACATGGTCTCGGTATGGAATCAAATTAGGATGGTGGATCTCCCAATCTCATTTGATTTGATAAATGACTAATGTTGAGTCTTTGTAAACTTCTAGAATCTTAATTCTCTAATCAATAACTGCTTTAATTCTAAGGATACATGCTTCCTACTCTTCCATATTGCTAGTTCAGTCGAAACATAATCTTGATGTGAAAAGAATATGATGATCTATTGGAGAAGTTATTACAGCTCCAAATCCATGACCTAGTGCATTGGAGGCACCATCGAACACGAGCGTCTATTGCGATCGTGGTTCAGGTCCTTCATCTGGGTCTGGAATATCATAATCTCTTATGACCACAACATATTTATCTGGGAAGTCAAACCTCATTGGTTGATAGTCCTCCACTGGTTGGTATGCAAGATACTCTGACAACACACTACCTTTAATGGCTTTCTGGGTCACACACTGAATGTCGTACTCTGACAACAACATCTACCAATGAGAAATCCTTTCAGTTAAGACAGACTTCTTAAAAATATACTTAATGAGATCCATCTTGAATATCAACATCGTTGTATGGCATACCATGTAATGTCTTAGGCGGCGAACGACCCATGCTAGTACACAACAAGAAAGATGTTAGAGAAAATCAAGAAGGATGTTTTCATATCCACAAACTTGCCTAAAGTACACATGCACTCTTGTATTTTGATATTCAAAATTATAAATATTTTTGGTGTTACTTGTCAGACTATAACCTCTCTTAAAATCACTTAAGTTAATTGACTTGCCCCTTTTAAATGATGATTTAAATGTAATACTGGTTATACATCTAAAATATCCATTTGTCTCATTACTTGTGCTGTGATTTATAGAGATTTTAGACCTAATCCAAAAAGATAAAAAAAAAAAAAAAAAGATAAAATAAATAGAGAACTCAATAAATTACATAGGTTTATTACTCTTTAATCGAGTGTTATATAACTGAAATTCCTTTGACATAACTTTTTTCATTGACTCAAATATCACTTTTATTTTTTTTCTTCTTCTTTTTCACCGATGTAAGTCGTATGCTTAGTGCCTCAAACATCTAACCCATTGAATTCTTTCAAAACCTCCATATCATTAATAAAATTAGAATGCATATCAATTATACTACTTTGTTGTTCCTCTGGTTGTTTCATTTTTTGATTTTCACTAAATTTGTATCGTTTGAAAATTATGAATCTCACTTTCTTAAAACACTTCTTCTTGCTCTTCTATCTTATGATAGTTACTTTTCTCAACATCTTGACATAAATCTTATAAAGATACATGTAAATGTTAAACTGGTCCCTAATATCATCATATATTATTTTTCTGTATAGCCTCATTCACAAGTGCACCTTTCTTAATAAGGTTTGTATATATAGCTCATCTACTATTGTTGTAGTTGCATTTTCTACTTATTATTATATTTTATTGAAACATAAATTGTCATCTTTGTTATATTTGCTTTTTTTGGACTTTGCAATATTTGTTGCACGACAATATTCTAAAAAGAACTTTTTTAGTACTAGATTTAAAGATAAAGGGACATCAATACCTCTTACAATTGAAAAAATAAGGTGAATTCTCCAATGTTCAATAGAAAAACCATGTATTCTAATCTATTATTGTAAGTTAGTGTTTTTATATAAATCCGAATTGAAATCGATGTTCAGATAAATAGGCGAAGGATACCTTAGAGAGAGTCCACAACCATTGATGAAAATAAAAGTAAAAAAAAAATCCTTACCAATAGATGAATACTATTTGTTCAAAAAGTTTCAAAGACTATTTAGCTTTCCATTCAATGCATCAATTGTTAAAAGAAAATTATCATTTTTCAATATTATCTTTTCATGAATGAAATTTTTGCAGCTATTAAAATCCTCCTAATTGCATTCGTTGAAACTTTTAAAAAATTTAATTATTATTTTAACTCGTTAAAATAACCTACGAATGATGATATATTTAATTGTCTGCATTATTTAACTGTTGCTAATTTTCGTTGAAAAGTATCACATGCTATAAGACTAAGCTAATTTTTCACTCTAAGGTAGTCAGAGAGTATATAATTTTGAACAAAATAAATTAACAGTTTTTTCTTTTTGAAAATAAAATAAAATAACCGTGAGCATGAAAAATGAACAGTATAAAAAAAAAACTTGTCTGTCTGACAAAAAAAAAGCAAGAAATGGAAACAAAGTAAAAAACATAAATGTATATTTTGGATCTTATCTGTTACTGTTAGAGGCCTGCCAGCCCGGCGTTTTGATTGGGTCTCGAGCCTGTCACGAGGGTTTTCTCCTCTATTTCCATTTTTTAAATTTTCATAAATAAAAATATTTGTATAAGAAAATAAAAATAATTCAGATATATATGAGTTTTGCGAGTATATGATTGTGTTGATGAAGAAAGAAGTTTAGAAGCAGTAGTGAGAAGAAAAAAAAAGTAGAGAAAGAAAAAAAAAAAAGTAAGAAAAGAGAAAGTCACAATCAGAAAACAGAATATAGAACTTGTGTGTGTGAGTGTGAGAGAAGTGTAAGAAGATGAAGAGAGAGCATAACCATAACCAAGAACACGAAGATTCGAGTATGACTGGTAAATCGGAGATTTGTTGGGAAGACGACGGTGGTATGGACGAGCTTTTAGCGGTGGTTGGTTACAAGGTGAAATCATCAGACATGGCTGAAGTTGCTCAAAAGCTTGAACAACTTGAACAAGCTATGGGTAATTTTCAAGATCAAGATGAAGCCACCATCGCTCAACACCTCTCAAACGACACCGTTCATTACAATCCTGCTGATATTTCTAACTGGCTTCAAACTTTGCTTTCCAATTGTGACTCTCAGCCTAATCCCTCTGTTTCCTCTTCCTCCGATAACGACCTTAACGCCATTCCTGGTAAAGCTATCTACGCCAACACTGATGAGTCTCTTCCCTCACGGAAACGAGTCAAACGAGTAGATTCTTCTGCTTCCACTGAGTCAACTCGTCCTGTTGTTATGGTTGTTGAAACGCAGGAGAAAGGGATTATTCTTGTTCATACTTTAATGGCTTGCGCTGAAGCTGTTGAACAGAATAATCGACCGGTGGCGGAAGCTCTTGTCAAACAGATCGGATACCTAGCGGTGTCGCAAGAAGGTGCTATGAGAAAAGTTGCTACCTATTTCGCTGAAGGTTTAGCACGAAGAATCTACGATGTGTTTCCACAGCATTCTGTTTCCGATTCGCTTCAGATCCATTTCTATGAAACTTGTCCTTACCTGAAGTTCGCTCACTTCACTGCGAATCAAGCTATTCTTGAAGCTTTTCAAGGAAAATCGCGTGTTCATGTTATTGATTTTTCTATCAATCAAGGGATGCAGTGGCCGGCGCTTATGCAGGCGCTTGCCTTGCGTCCTGGCGGTCCTCCTGCTTTTCGTCTCACCGGAATCGGTCCTCCGGCATCGGATAACTCCGATCATCTCCAACAGGTTGGTTGGAGGCTTGCTCAGTTTGCGCAGACGATTCATGTTCAGTTTGAGTATCGTGGTTTTGTTGCTAATAGTCTAGCTGATCTTGATGCTTCCATGCTTGAACTCCGGTCACCGGAGACTGAGTCCGTCGCTGTTAACTCTGTTTTCGAGCTTCATAAACTCAACGCGCGCCCTGGTGCGCTTGAGAAGGTGTTTTCTGTTATCCGTCAGATTCGGCCGGAGATTGTCACCGTTGTTGAACAAGAAGCAAATCACAACGGACCGGCTTTTCTCGACCGGTTTACTGAGTCGCTTCACTATTACTCGACGCTGTTTGACTCGCTGGAGAGTTCATTGGTTGAACCGCAGGATAAGGCTATGTCAGAGGTTTACCTCGGGAAGCAAATCTGCAACGTGGTGGCATGTGAAGGAACGGACCGAGTCGAGCGTCACGAAACACTGAACCAGTGGAGGAACCGGTTCGGTTCAGCTGGGTTTTCTCCGGTTCATTTGGGATCCAACGCGTTCAAGCAAGCGAGTATGTTATTGGCTCTTTACGCAGGTGGGGATGGTTACAAGGTGGAAGAAAACGACGGTTGTCTCATGTTAGGATGGCACACTAGGCCATTGATTGCTACCTCTGCTTGGAAACTCGCCGCCAACTCAATGGTGGTTTCACACTGAGTCAACTCGCCCGTTTTGCACACTTGCACACCCCACCCCTTTTTTTTGGAAGTAAAAATGAAAAATAATTAATTAATTCATACCCACCAAAAAAGGAAAGAAAAAAAAAGAAGGGTACTTGTGGGGTTGAGTGGACAATGTGCAATTGTGCCTTGCTGAGCTGTGAGCACTGATTGCTTGAGACCGAGAGACCCACCATTGTCCATTCTCTCCTTCTCTCACCATTTCCTTATCTTTCTCTTTCTCTCTGTTAATTTACTTTTTTGGCTTAGGACTTTCTCTGTTCATTGTTTTAACCTTGGGTTGGAATTGGAATCTCATGTAATTTTTCAGGGTTGGAATCAAAAGGGTTAATGTGTATTAATTTTATTTTATGTTTCGACATATGTAGCTTGGTGGTTGGTAATAATAATAAATAGAATCTTGTTTATTTTAATTGAAAAAAATTAACTAACATAGCCCCATTCATTTTGATGATTGGGATTAGTATTGATATGAGGTATCATTGTCAAATTAAGAATATGGTAATAGCTTCTGTCTGGTCATGGAGCCAGCTTTGACAGAATTGGTATGAAAGTGAAGTTACTAAAATGGAGAATCAATTGCCAGCTGCCTTGCATTTTAGCATAGATAAAGCAGCTTGCTTACTTTGTATAAAATTTCTCCAAGAGTTGAGAGTTTTTTTTTAACATATACATCATTATCAAAACAGATGGAACTGTAACTTCAATGCTTGTTTGTTTATGCATAATAACAAAATTACTGCCACAACAATCCTTTGCTTTTTTATGTCAGAGATAGCACAATCTTAAGAAAGTGAACAAAAGTGGTGATAGGGATTACACTTAAAAAAATTTAGTTTTAAGACTTGTTTCCTTTCTCAAGTTTCATTTTGTTTAATCCTCTTTCTGCCAAATTTTTACTGAGCTTACTTTAGATAATCTAATTTTCAGTTTATGGAAAAGGAAGATTTCTGACTTGCCGGACCCATATAGTGTAATTTTAATGTTTTTTTTTTCTTGCTTTCTAATCACTGAGGGTCTGTCTGAGAGCATCTTAAATGAAGCATCATTCATAGTCATCTTTGTACACAGTTTCACTGGTCAAAGCAAAATCAAAAACTCAATTGACTTGTTCTTTTATTAACTTGGTGATAACTTTGATTGTACCAACAACTACAGAAAATTACTAGTATATTATTGGAGTCTTCAGGAATCTCAAGTTTCTGAGATCCTCTGCCAAAGAAAATCTGTAATGTTTTTCCCTGCTGGTCTCTATGTGTTTCTATTATTTTAAATATAAAGTCCCAAACACTCTTGAATGTATTATCTCCAATCTTATTTATAACAAAAAAATTTACTTCTTAAATTTATTGAATAATCAAAATATCTAGACTATAGAATCTATCAAATACATTGATTATTCAAAAAAATCTCAAAAATTAATTCTCTTATAAATAGGATCAGATAGAGAATTTCATAATGCATCTTCAATTTTCCATGTTATACTCTATTTTATTCATAGTAATCACCAGCACAAATACTAGGGCCAATCTGAGGTGCAGAGACTTCTTGATATCTCCTCTGTTTGGTAACGTGATTGATCAGTTATTCTTGTCTAACACCTAGTTGGTAAGGCACTCAGCATTAATGCCATTAACAATTAGAATAAATTAAATGACACTAACAATAATATAAGTTTATTCTCAAAACGCTCCTAACAAAATAACAACACAAACGTTGTCAATTTCACTGTCACTTTTTATAATACTACAACCACAAATTGAATTGGAATTAGATGACACATTACACCATGCTCAAGAACAACCATATGAGCCCAAAGAGAATGCCTCATCAGCATTTGTCAACATACAAGAGAGTATTTTTGCAGGCCAGTAGATGAGTCAATGAATGAAAGATGCATATGTAGCACTCAAACAACACGTTGATTTCTACGTATTGGGCCATCTCCTAAATTAGTTTATGTTTGCCACCAAAGTATTATATTCACATGTCCTTTTCTATTTTATAGGGTCCACCATAAATTTTTTATTCTAATACCAACTTGGTCTCTAGAGTAATCTTAAAAAGTTTTATGTACCTCACATCAGTTACCTATTTTAATTCTCCACTTGCTACTGTTGCTTTTATTATATTTTTCCCAACCTTTTCCATCAACGAGAAAGTAGATCAGGTCTCTTTCAGTTACATAAGAAAAACCATAATAAAATAATATTTTATACAAAAAGAAAATCTTGATTAAATCTTTTTTAAGAATCATGAGTGAGTGGTACTTCTAGAGAAGCCAAGTCAAACCAAAATTAGTGCTTGCTAGTTGCTTCATATTGATTATTGGTATTCAAATTTCTAACAAGAAATTCAATAATTTGAATTTAGAATGCAGTTTCTACAAATATTGAAGAAAGGTGTAATAGCATTATAGCATAAATGTTAGTGAAACAGTGAAAATTTGGTGTGTGGAGTCACACGTGTGGTCACAACAGTTAAGCATGTGGGGGACCTGAATAAGACATGCTGTTTCTGTTGAATTCTAAAACTATGCCTTATTATGAATTTATGATGCTGCATGCCTTTGAGCTTTCTTTGACCATATCACATAGATTAGATTAATTGGTCCTATTACTATATACTACAAGTAGTGTCTATCTATTTTCTAACCTTCCACATTATTGCTTCATTTGATTCTACTTTTTCCTTTTGAGTTTACTAAAATCCACATTAATTTTATTTTCATAGGAAATTTATTCATCCTTATCCACTTCAATGGTATATGTGTGAATATTCTTATTCATTGAAAAATATCTTGGGTGGAGCATGTTTATATATTTTGGATCAATTAACTGAAGAGCATAGAATTAAATTCCAACAATAAATGTTGACATGTGAATTAAATAAAAGCGCATAAGAGAGTACGCCTTTGATTAAAAACAGTAATTATGTATGATTTGGGTAAGATATCATATCAGGACAAGGTATTACTCAAATAAATAAATAAATAAACTAAAACAATTTATTAATGTATCTCCCAACACAAGGTATGCTAAGTATAAGAGCAAAATTAGGGTTATATTGAGTCTGCAAATTACGACAGTATAATTGAAACACCAATACTGCCCTACCCAGTTTAAATGAATGAATCAAATTGTTGCAATATACTTTATGTCTCTCTAGTTATGCTATCTAAACATTGAATTTCTATGTGAAACCATGTTACACCAAGAATGTATTTCCATAACTATATAAAAAATCTTATAAAAAGGAACTAATCTAGTCTTTAAATGTAAGTATTTTACATACATTTAAGTATTGTAAATAATAATATTTGATTGTTATTTTTATATTATAGTATGTGATCTATTAAGTAAAGTTTATTAAATTTCAAATTTATTCTATTTAAACAATAATTTATTTATTTATTTTAATTTTTTTCATTACTCTATTAATATTATGTAATCAGAATTATAATCACTATTTCTTTTTAGATAGCAAAATAATCCTCTTAAATTACATTCATTGTCTTAGATGACACAACATTTCTATACATGAGCCTTTGCACTCTCTGTAAAAGATCTACTACTTTTGGTGTTAAAAAACCAAAATTATCAAAGGAGAATGGTTAAGCATGTTGATTGTCGGAACATGCTTTCTCATGCTTGGCTACTTTACTTTAAGCAGCTTTGAGAGATGTCTGTTCCACATGAAAACCTTTACTTCTCAGTTCTACCAGTGGAAAAACTCCAGTTAAGTCTACACATGCATGTTTTCCTCCTACCCACCCATACATCAACACATCTGCTGACCTAAGAGTCGATCTCCCTCCTTTTGGGTAACTCAAGAAACTCACATGCCCTTATTTCTTCACAGATACCCTTTCACACCTAAATATATCAAATAGGACATTCCAAACAAAGTCATGTCAGTATTTGATCCTAGAAGTTCCTTGTAATGAATAACATGTTCCCCAAATGTATTCAAGCACGCCTTGCGACGAATAGGACAAACCTCATCAATAAAAAAATAAGGTAATCATAAGCTGATATTTAAAGATGATATTGTACTCTACCCGAGATATATGTTGGCCTAGATTGTTAATAGGGATAGCAAGGAGAAAATCTTGAGCATGTGCTGCTTGCAACAATCCAAAACTGATTTTTGTCTTGTGATCATGTCAAACTTTACATCTATGTCCTGAACACTTTTACTAAAAAGGGTACTCGTCAAAAAATGTTGTGCTTTATGAGGGACAATATCCTTTCTAGTAAATTCGCTAAGATTAAATTCTGGAACCATTACACTAAGATCATCCAAAGCTCTGCCGAAATCAAGGTTCATAACATATATCTCACTATTTCTCAACATATTATCCTGTAACACCCAAGATTCAACCTTAGAAACCACAAACACGTATAAGGTAGCCTCTATTGTCGATTACGGACCCAATCCCCAATTCTAATAGGTAAAAAAGACACCCTCCATTGAAGTTTCCCGAAGAAAGGACATCCACCAACCACGATATGTCTTCAATCGCCCTTCACAACTCTTTATCAAGCTTAATAGTTACTTTCTCCATGTGATTAGGTTGACACGTCCTAAGACAAAAAAAAAAAGAATTTATCAATACCCATGCAAAAGCTTAATAGCCTTAATCACTCTCTTTATGGACAACCCCCCGATAAAATCTCCATCTTGACTAACATCCCTTCCAATCAACTTCATCCCAAATATCGACCTCCCAATGTGTGAAGAAAATAACTCCTCATGAAGTTTACTATCAACACACAATGGCCAAAAGACCTTAGTTTTATGAATATTCAATTTGAGACCTAATCTTAAACCAGTCTCCCGAATGATGTTTGTAACACCCTAAATCTCGACTCTTAATATAAAAGAGAAATTCACAAATTAGTATACTACTCAAAACACAACACACATACTTCATGAATATTTTTTAAATCTCGCAGCAGAACTCAAATTATATCA